CAAAAATTCCCGTTTTGTTGTTTGTTTTTTTATTTTCTATCCGGTCTCTCAGCTCGGGTTGGCCCCACAAATCTACCAGGTCAGCAGTTTCCTGGTCGCTCCAAATCAATCGCATTATTATTAATTAAAATTTGAATTAACTTTTATGAAAAGTAACGACTGCGTCTTGATTGAACACACATGAAGAACTCGCGGGTTTTTTATTCAAGAACTTCTAAACGCAACGGCGTCATCGACTGTGATTGGTCGACAGCCGACGAGGAAATGTCAATCTCGGTCACGCCAGGGTCAATCCAGGGTCAATATGGGTGCTGAGCCGGGATCGAGATAGGTAGATTGAGATCGAGGTCACGCCAGGTGCGAGTCGGTGCAGATGCGGTCACATTACGAAAATCTCACCTGCGGTGAGTCAAGCCAGGCTTGAAACTCTAGTGTGACCATAGCCATAAACAGTAGAGTAAAATGGAATTTTATAAAGCAACGAAACAAATAACTTCATTTTAAATCAACCACAAATGTTGAACTTTTGACCTCTGAGATGACCTCTGTATAATTAATTGTAGTTTTATTGTCTGTCAGTCAATTCAGTATGATCTGAGCTTTCATTAAGCATTTTATAGGGGCACTATGATGATTTTACAAAAAAATTAAAATTTTGAAGGCAAATTGGCAGCTATCTTGGATTTTAAGGTCAAAACTAGGTCAAATCATCGATCCAACATCAAAAATGAAATCCTTGACCCCTAAAGCAGCCATGTAGGCCAAAACACTGAAATAATAAATTTCAAAATGGCGGAGGCGGCCATTTTGGATTTAGGGCTCTCACAGGTTATTCCCACAGTTTTGCGAGGGACAACCAAGCTATTTTAGTTATCATACCCTCAAGGTAGACAAATCCACTGAAATCTAAGTTAGCCTCGTCACGGAATTGCCAGAAATGACCCAACTAGTACCTCATTGGTATGCTAAAAATATTAATTTGCCTATCAAACAACGCTATCTTCCCTCCCATCTCCCTTGAACCTACCAGAGATTTTTTTCTGGTACCCTCATCAAGGCAGGGGTGGATTTAGGGGAAACCACCCCCACCCCTTTTTTTGGAAAGTAAAAATAAAAAATGATTGATTCTCCCAAAAACGCCTCAGGGGTTTATTTTTAGGCATTTGGAATAACAAAAATACTGTAGATGCCTTAGAGTAGTATTCTCTCGATCGCCACACCATCCCCCCTCTCCCCCTTCCCCCGTACATCTCTGGATCAAACCCGGCAGGATTCTAGTAGTCGGCCACTTGGTTCAGACTTCACTGTCAAACATGTTGGACCCCATGTCCTGTCAGCAAGTTTTGTCCAATGATTTTTAACAATTTTTGTCAAATTTTGGCTAAAGACAGCTTCAATTGGCTAAACAAAAAAAATGCAGCCCACGAGCCAGAATTGCTACAGGACGGCAATTTTATGCCGACCTAGAATTCTTTGCTTCCAAAACTGCTTGGAAAGTCAAAGACAGGCTATAGCAGACACTAAATTTCATGTACGTCGTCAAACCAAGCAAATTGGTGGTTCATAAAACAGATTTCTTTGTACAGTAAACTATTCTTATAGGCATGCAGTACGTACAATTTGTGTACAATTGTCTTTCTCGCCTAGTCATTTCGTAGGCTAGGCCTAGGTAGGAATGACGCTAGCCAGCCAAGGCCTACAACATTGCACAATTGAAGCCATGTGGGCCACGTAGATCATAATGCTTATCTAAATCTATTATTTGTCTTCATTTTACAGTATTATTATCATATTTAAAATGTTTATTATCTAAAAACAACAAAATTCAACATATTGTAGGCCTAATCCTACCGTCACGATCGCATCGTGACTTCACTACTGACAAGTACTGTACATGTGTGGAAAATCCCTGATAGATCATTCTGGGCATGCGCATGGACATGCATGGGCAGTTTTGAAGCAGCCTGTGATATGATCATAGTTTTTTACGAAAGTATATTTCCCATGCCAAAGATAACGATAAAACAAAAGCTAAAACAAAATTTATTCGGCAATATTCTTATGTAAAACATATGTATTATACTACACTATTAAATTAATACGAGTACGACCATTCTTTCACCAGCAATATATTGATTTAATAGAGAAATTAACAAAATCACAATCTGTAGATGACAATGTAAGGTCGCGCGTTTGGAAAATTTGTAGTTTATGCTATATAGGCGTAGGTAGTAAAAAATTGCTGCTGACCTCAGAGAATTTAAGGTCCTAATTTTTTCCTAATTTCATGGGCTGAAAATGTCAGAGTAAGCCCAGGCAATTCAGCACAATGACATGCCAAGTTATGGTTTATTCTCCTATCTACCTACCCACCCACCCTAGTAACACTCCGAAGACACCATGCAGTTTCTTATATACCAAGCGTACAGTAGTCACTGGCACTCTCTGTAAACTTACAATTTATCACAGTACGTTATATAGGTCACAAGATGCTTTTCTTTTTGCATTTTTTTGTTTTTTCCACTCGAGGCATGTTATGTCTACTCTGATCAAAATATGCACGTCCACAAAAGCTTAGTAATTGTTCTTTCCACCAAAATCTATTGCGGATGTAAGATGCCCAAGTGTGCTGAACACGGCAAAGCGAATTTCAGCAGATCGATTTTGGCTTATGTGGACTACTTTTGGCAGGTATGAGGCCAAAATTGGTCCAGGGGAACGATTTTGGTCCCGGATCCAAGTTTTCATGACTGGCCTATATATTTATAACATAGTGTAAATGTATAGTTTTCCACATGGACAACTGGCGCTGATACATGTATTTCTTGCTTAGAACACCACGATTTATTTTACTCTTACCATACACAACTAGTCAAAAATTATAAGTTGTTCATCAGCAAGTTTTAAAAAGTTCAATAAAGGGAATTTTCTTGAATTACTGTGTAAAACGCTGGACCGTTAAAGTTTTTACTGGTGACAAATTTAGTCTATTCATAAAACTGGATAATTGAGCCTAAACCTGGCAAATTTTGTGAGTCAACACTATTTCTGCACTAAAGATAGGTCAAGGATACAAAGTTGAAATGCAGCCAAAATGACAGGAAACAAATACAGTACAACATGAAAATAAACCTATTCTTAGAACGAATCTTTAGAAATGCATCAACCCATTTCACACAAGATCATAGCATGATTCTGTGTAATAAAAAATAAAAAGTTAATCAGATACTTAGGTTTACCCTTTCAATTTCTACAAGTAGTGAATATGCATTTATACCCATTATGCATAAAACAAACAACAAAGGCTCCATCCAAACCAGAGTTCAAAAACTTATAACTGGAAATATTGGTCTACAGTATTTTAAAGCTGTCATCAGTATATCATGAAATGTTGTCTTTTAGTTGTTTTAAATATTGACTTAAACATAATATCACACATTAATATTTACTAAACAAGCTAAAATGTAACAATAAACAATCGTAATTCTCAGCTTTACTTTACAACAAAACAATACATTACATGAATTTGGTGATCCCAAGTTCTAAAATGTACTTCTGACTCGGGTGATTTGACATTTGTTAAAATTTTTAAATTACTTTTACTTTGATTTTAAAAAGAAAATGTAATTTTCTTTTAAAGTCAAGTTCTTCTTAAAATGCCAACCAAGACTGGAAATGAAGGGTCATTTGGTCGAATTTGCGACCAGATATTTTTAGGTGCGACCAAAGGATTCAATTAGGGTGTTCTCAGTATAACAAGGTCATTTGCTTGCACAACTAGTTTTAATCCAAACTGTTTACAACTTGTACAACCCATGATTTATTTATGAAACCAGGGAACAGTGAAATTACATGGAATGATCTCTAACTAGTAAGGCGTGCTAATCCTATTAGGTACCTATTGTTCGCTATTGTTCTTGTCCAATTTCCCCTGCTGTGTCCCAGTTCTTTGTGCCTATAAACGTGCGGTACCGACAGTCAAGCGAAAAGGATAAAAATATTACCACAACATCAGAAAATTTCTTTTAGACTTCAAAACTCTTTTGTGTTTTTTTACAAATATACAGCAATTTAATACATAACGACAGGTTTAAAAGCACTTTACATATGTTTTAGAAGCGTTTCCTGTCAAACTCCAGACTGAGATTTAACTATAATCAAGCAATTATAAGTCATTTTTTGGTAAGTATGTGTACTGGCATTGTGCCAAATTACTTACTTTTCTAGACTATATTTATCAAAAGCCACGTACCATTGCTTGTCATTCCAGTTTCGATGTATTTACTAAGATTGATATTTAACTTACAAATGCCCTAAGTCTCTTGAGCGAGCAACTGTGGCTATCAGAGATATTCACCTATTACTGATCTTATATTTTGCATTGGACTCACGCAAAATGCGGTGATCGTCAGTAAACCCGGAAGTAGACCTAGGCCTAGCTATCTGTCGTCACACTCGTGTTTGTATTGAGCTATCCTCCTAACTGCATATTGAGCCGGTATACGGACATAAACACCCAGGACATAAACCACCCAATTGGAATATACCATTGTTAAAGTGGGTGGGCAACAGGGTGAACAATGTTGGGTAGTCTTGCTTTTATCTAGCTTTACAATAGGACTTAATTTGCTATTGTACACTCCTATTATACGCCTTTAATTCATTCATTTCTTCTGACAACATGCATGTTGGTTAGTAATCATTGTAGATTTTAGTAATCACTGTGCTTAAAG